GAGCCCATTCTTCTTATATCCTGCAGTGCTGCTCTGAGCTACCCTGGCTGGAAGCAAGCGTAATGTTTTGTCTATCACCTCCTAGAGTAGGGCTGCTCACTGAGCTGAGTTTCCAGATCTCAGTCTATACCCAGAACTGATGTGCTTTTAAAGGGGAGGGAAAATGAAAGCAGACCTCTGCCTCACTGCTCATTCAGTAAAATGGACTTCTTCTTATATCCTGCAGTGCTGCTCTGAGCTACCCTGGCTGGAAGCAAGCGTAATGTTTTGTCTATCACCTCCTAGAGTAGGGCTGCTCACTGAGCTGAGTTTCCAGATCTCAGTCTATACCCAGAACTGATGTGCTTTTAAAGGGGAGGGAAAATGAAAGCAGACCTCTGCCTCACTGCTCATTCAGTAAAATGGACCATGCTGGTGTCCAGGTTTCTAGGGGTCAACAAGGAGACTTTCATTTTGGCAAACCCTGCATCTGTACAGAGACCTGAAGTAAATCTATTTCCTGAACACGATCACACCCAGTTGCCTGACACATTGCTCCTGCCAGCCAGGGCCAGCTCTAATGGTGGAATCCCCGAGCAGTTCAGTCAAGGGCCAGTGGAGGGTAGGTATTTGGAGAGACAAGCGCTGAACAGAACATCACCTGTATAGCATTACCTGGATTGTCTTGCCTTTCTCTCTATACAAAGAGTCTAAGTGTTATCTCATCATCAGAGCTGCCAATCTATTATTAATACTGTACTTCTGTCAAGCATCCAGGAAAAGGCAGGGGCACTTGAGTGACTCATGTCTCTCTCTCTCTACCCCTCTCTAACTCTTTCAAGTCCCATTCTGAAGCAAGAGAGAGACATACTCTGAGTGGAATTAAATATCATCCAGCCAGAGAGGACTGTCACTGTGCCAATGCCCTGGACAGGATCTGCTTTCAGGGCACCTGAGAGAGCGTCTCTATGCTATTGACCCAACCTTTGCTTGACAAGAAGGCATGGCAGGCTTAGGATAAAGATCTTCCCCCCGTTTGGTCCCAGTGATCCATTATTCTTCGCAGGGAGAGGTGGGACAAATAGGGAACTGATTGTCTATGTAGGACTAGGAGATACCAATCTCACTTGATTGAGAAAAAAAACTTCTGAAGGAATCATGAGATACAGCCTCAGAAACAAAAATCTGGGACATTCTACCAGCACCTTTACTGCCTCATCCTGTAGTGCTTCAAGGAGCTGCCTTGCCTATGAGCCAAATGGGGAAGCCCTTACTTCAGTTTTCACTCAGTCCACTCTTTGGCAAACTCCCACTGGAATCAATAGGAATTAGAACTCGAAAAGGACTGAATAAAACCTGAGCCGGGATCAGAGGATTTGGCCCTCTTATTGGGAAACAGGACATCATTGATATGAACCAAGTGAATATAAAATATGGATTGTAGGACAGAATGAATTCCAAAAGAAGGGGGAAAGTGTGGTAGCAGAGGAAGTTCAGAACTGCTTCAATCCCAGCTTCTCCAAAATATCTGCTTCTACCAGTTACCTCTCCCAAGATGCACTTTCTAGGTGCTCCAAGGGGCTAAGAAACAATACATTCTTGAAGTCAGTCCTTACAAAATATTAGTAAATCAGAGAGGGAAGAGAATCTAGTTTCCAAGCCATGTAAGACAATCCCTGGTGGAACTACAAGGACACTGTCTACTTTAATACTGACAGCAGAATGAATCTAAAACAGGGATATTCAATTATATTGTGTCAAGGTCCAAATTGTTTGGTCAAGGTACAGTCAAGGTCCAGGCTTCAGAGAAAGTAACAATATTGATGATAATAAGTAAATAAAAAGATTTCAGGGTTTGTTCAAAAGCATGTGGTGATCTGACTTTGACCTGTGATCCACCTATTGGCTACCCCTGATCTAAAGCCCCCACATGACTTTGACTTCGCCAAAGAGAAGAGAGGACTGAGTATGAAATAGGGATAAAATTGCTTAAGTATCGGTCAAATGTTTTACTTGCAGCCCATGAAAATATTGTGGGAGGTGGACTGACTTCCTGCTCTGAAGATGTGCAACCCCCACACTTCACCAGTATGAGGCGGGAAGCTTGCTATCATGTTGCTGGTGCAGTGTGGTCACAGGGATGAAGTGGTAATTTTGAGACCACTAGTTTTCTGCAGGGGTTGAAGTACTACAGCCCCTGCACATCCACAAGATCCACACTAATGACTGAAATGTTTGCCCGTCCAGGCTGATTTGACCAGCAATACAGATGGCAGATACCACTGATGAATAACTTGTTCACGATTAGGCCCCTAGAGATACATACATAATTCAATGATGTCTTTCCTTCTCTCACCTGGCCCAAGCATGTTTAAATCTCACCTATGAGATTCCACAATCCAGAACTCAGATTCCCACACCCTTCTCAACACTCTCATCTTCATAGCTAATCCTGAATTTTTTATGAGTTCTTCCTTGGCAATAAGTGGTTTGGGGAGGAGCGTGAAGTTTGCCAGACCCTTAGCAAAGACAGATGAGTCTCTGTTTGCAGGTTTCAGAAATCATTTTGACAGCACTGCCAAATGCAGACCATTCAGTGAGTTAGAGAGACTGTAGCACATGTTTACAACCTACTGACCACTAGACTCAGTTAATTAACACTGGGACCTGACATTTTGTGTGGGCCCAAACTGCAAAATATGGATCTGGAGCTGAACTAACTCAAGGTAAGGGGTTGTTTCAATCCAGGGTTTAGGTCTCATCCATCTGAGAGAGAATGGCCACCTACAAAATGTGGATCCATAATCGGACTTTCTCAAACCTAGATTTCTTGGGCCTTACCAAACCCTAACAACGGCTATCTGGTCATGAAATTCAGCACCATATCCCAGCTTTCCTAGAGCTTGTGGAGCAGGGCTCAGCTATGGGGGCGGGGGCTGGGGCTGCATCTAACTTTAGCCAAGACACATCTTATTCTGAGGGAATTGGGACAATTACAAAAAATGTTAATGCGTGTATTTCTGAGCAATGCGATTTAAAAAAAAATACCAAAACCAAAACTCTAGTTTGAGAGAGTCTTTCTTCAGTTCAGGCCATATCTCCCATAGTGCTCTGCTTCATTCTCATTGAACTCTGGGGAGTGTTCTCACATTAGGCAGCAAAGCCCTCTGGGACATACTGACCTTTCTGGTACAATTGAAGGGATGCTTACTCACCAGCCCTGCTAGTTCCTTAAAAAAAAATAACCTCGCTGGAGAAAAACAGAGAGCAAGCTCATGCTGCTAAGGACCTAGATAGCAGTGTTAGGGTACATCTGGGAGAGAGCTCATTTGATTACAGGGAGTAGCAGTGAAGAATTCCATTGTGATCATATTGTAGCCTTAACACTATTCAAAATGGATGAAAAGGCTTAATGAGGTTAACCACTATTCTAACACACTCTCTCCTCTCTGCTTCTCACCTACTAGTGCTTGCCTGTTGGCTCTCTCTGTGTGCAGCAGACTCTCTCTTCACTTGCCCTTCTTCCTGCCAGTGTAACAGCGGCAGCCTGGAAGTGGACTGTAGCGGCTTGGGCCTCTCGTCCATCCCCTCAGACATTCCTACAAACACCAGAATCTTCCTCTTCCTCAACAACAAGCTAAGCACCTTGCCAGGACCAGTCTTTTCCAATCTCTCTGCCCTTCAGAGGCTGGACCTTTCCAACAACTTCTTGGACCAGCTGCCTCAGAACATCTTCAGTGACCTAGGGAATCTCACTGAACTACAGCTGAGGAACAACAGTATCAGGACCCTGGACAAGGACCTTCTGCAGCACATGGCCCTTTTGCGCCAGCTGGACCTATCCATCAACGGCCTCGCTCAGATACCCTCAGGAATCTTTGATGACCTCCCAGCTCTTCGTTTGCTTTCCCTCAGGTCTAATCGCCTACACAGTCTAGACAGGGTGACCTTTGAACCATTAGTCAGCCTGCAGCAGCTCCAAGTTGGAGATAACCCCTGGGAATGTGACTGCAACCTGAGAGAATTCAAACACTGGATGGAATGGTTCTCTTATCGAGGTAGGTGCCATGAGGAGGGGGGTCTAGTCACAGGGTTACAGATTGACTGCTAAGCTTTCCAGTGAAGGAGCGAGGGAGACAGAAAAGACAGACAGCTAAGAAAAATGAATCAAGCTGACCTAAATTCTAGATCTTGGCCAATTAGAAGAGGGCCAGTACTAATGCTATGCAATGCTACAGTGTGGCAATGTACAGTTACTATTGAGGCGGTGTTTGCATTCTAAAATCCTCTTTTCAGAGGCTATTTCTCATCCTTGCTCCCAGATCGAAAGGTGGAATTTTTTTTGGAGGGGGGAGAACTTATTTAAAAAGCTAGAAAAATTTAGAGAGATGAGTTTAGAAAAGATGCTTGACATGCTTAGAAATACTTCTCCAGATCAATTCCTTATGCTGGGATACCTAAAACCAAGACCATTTGTACAGCTTAAGGTTTGCCTTCAGGAAAGCAAATATCAGAAATGTTGAGGTTTGAAGGATTTTGGTTTATAAATCATAAGGTTTCTCAACTGAAACCATAAAAATGTCACTAGTCAGGCCCCAAAACACATGACTGGCTTAAAAATATTTTTTTTTCAAAATACTACATGTATTAGACCTTTTGATTTGCCTTTTCATTTTAGAAAAATATAGAGTTCACATTTTAAAGCTTTTCTCTGCTACATTAGGGGCTAACAGCTGAGATTCTCTCAGAATGACATAATTCCAGAAGCTGGGACTTAAGAGAAACACCACATATTCTGACAACACCAAAACTTGACTCTGCTTGCTTGGAAGCCTCTACTGAGAGCAGGAGTAGCTTCAACTTATCAGAAAGGCAGCAGCCATGATACTTGTACTGATCTCAAATAACCATGCTGGGAAGCGATGACATGACTGTGCAATCACAAAGCTATTATTTGGCATGTGCATTAATTAACGTGAGCACATTCAAAGAGGCACACTGGTATCTCTTTTTCTTTTAGATTTTTTTTTCTTAATTTGATTCTCATACTACACAATGAGAGAAGCAGACAGAGAGCATTCTGTGTTCTCTTTCAAAGGAAATTTCACAGTGAAGCACCTGAATCCGCATAGACTGCTAACAATACAGCGGAAAGTGTTGGCTAGTGACAACATGGGACTGGGAGTTTTAACCCCCAAGATTCTAATTTCATTTTTGACAGTGACTTGCAGTTTCACCTGGGCAAGTTACTTTATTTTTGGGGGCCTCATATCTCCCTATGTAAAAAGAGGATAACCACACTTACCCTCATCTTTCTAAGGCTTTGTGAGGATGAGTTGATTCATGTGTTTAAAGCATTTTGACATCCTTAGAAGGAAGCTCTAAAGCATAATTAAATACTTGCTATACATATATATTGTCACTACTACAGCCCTGCCACTAAAGGGAGGTGGAAGGACATCACAACCAGTGGCAGTTGCAGAAGCTATTCTGCCAGCAGTGTGCTGTGGCAGACAGATCATGTCTCCAAGGTTAGTGGATGAGCAAATGTGGGAGCAGACACAGATGCATCATTTTAAAAGGTGCAGTGTCTGCTCCCCCATCACTGTCTGTGTACCCTCTACCAATGGGGAAGTGAATGCGGATATGGCCGTGACTCTGTCCCATAACCTTTAATACATGTAGTGCAGCTGGCAATGCTATGATTCCACCCTTTTTTCTCACTTTGTAATTGGGAACATAAGGTTTTGGATTCTGGTTGTCTTTTCGAGTATGGAAGGGTTCTCTGTGTCCTCACTCACACTCCCCTGAGCACTCATACAAGAGAGACCAGATTATAGCCCCTTTGGAATAACAAGTCTCAGTTATATTATAGTCATGTAGAGATCCAGACCTTTGTATTTCCTACTTCTGTGGGCCAGATCCTCAGCTAATGTAAATGGAGATAGTCTCAGCTGGTGCAAATCAATGTAACTCCATGTATTGAAATGCTGAATCACAATATTATTCTGGCATAGCACAGGGCACTGAAACAGGCCCTGCTTGACACCCAGCTGTGAATCACTCAATTTTTTTCCCTCTGTTGGGACAGGAGGGAAGATTGACCAGTTGGCGTGTACGCTGCCTAAGGAGCTGAAGGGGAAGGACATGCGAATGGTCCCCATGGAGATGTTCAACTACTGTTCCCAGCTGGAGGATGAGAATGGCTCTGTGGTGCTGGACAATTCTGGCCCACCATGTACTAAAGGAAGCCCAACTCCTTCAAAATCCAAATCAGGTCCAGAACCAGAAGTGGAGCCAAGCGTGGGGTGCCCTCAGAAACAGAAATACCGGCCTGTTAGTGTGCGCAGAGCCATTGGCACAGTGATCATTGCTGGAGTGGTGTGTGGCATCGTGTGTATCATGATGGTGGTGGCAGCAGCTTATGGCTGTATCTACGCGTCCCTTATGGCCAAGTACCACCGAGAGCTGAAGAAGAGGCAGCCACTAATGGGTGACACAGAGGGTGAACACGAAGAACAAAAGCAAATCTCCTCTGTGGCATGAAACTCTTCTTGGAAGTCAAGGGCAGAAGTGAGCAGGATACCTAAGAGCCGTGAGGCCTGGGTCCTCCCACAATCCATCTCCCCAGACAGATGGACAGACTGTGCTGTCACTCCACTCATCCAATTAGTGCAACATGCTTCTGGGCTTAGGACATCTGGCTCTAAATTTTGAATCCGGCCCTTTGGCTCCTCCTCATCCTCACACCCTCCCAAGTGAATAAACTATAGTCAGACCTCAAGCGCTTGCCATGCCTCATTCTTACACACAGCCCTCCCTCCCCTCTTGGATATGCACAGTAAAGGCAGCCAGCACTTTCCAGGAGCCTCTGGTCCCTTGACACCCTCCTCTCAGCTTCAGTCCCCAGTTCCTTCTTCATCCCACACAGCACTGGAGAGCCGTCCGCAATCACAAAGAGCAGCCACCTATGCTGAAGAAGCTCCTTGTATAATGAGCAAGACACTAGAGCAAGTGTCTAAGTCTCACTGGTGGAGTCATTGGTGTTGCAGGACAGCAAGCTACTCCCCATCTCCTGTACAGTGAAGGAAAACCTGGTCAAGAGAATACTGGGAGAGACAAAAGGGCCTAGATGGTCACAAAAGGGAGAAAAGGGAGCTTCCCCTTCTCACTTTGAACTCTGGATAGACACATCTAACCTAAGATCTGTGCATATACCGACTTCAGTTACTCATCCTGACAAACACTTATCCATACCTTCAAGGCCCACACATTTATTGCCCGTATGCACATGTGAATAGCTATGCACAGTCACATGGATCTCCCCAAAGCACACAAGGCAATCCTTCACATGTGCATACAATTGTAGCCTCACACATACATTTACTCACTTACATACTGACGCAAACATTCCTACTTGTGGAACACCTAAGGGTGTGCTAGGCACCTCCCAGTACTGACAACTACCCCTGAGGGGCTTACGAAGATATTTCAGGGATGGTGCAAAGACACGGGGGTGGGGGAGGAGAAACAACATCCTTAAGTTGCCAGTGTTACTCAGTGAAGGCTTGTGCACAGCATGGAAAGGCAAAATGAGGCTCTGTATTCATGCTATGGTTTTATAAGATAAACAGAATAGGTGCCTAAAGAGAAGACTCAGTCTGCATGTGTCCTAAAGACATTGTGGCTGAAGCGGTTACTCAGGAGGGATTGAAAAGAAGAGCTCGCTGACCAGCTTGCATTCCATGTGTAGGGGCAGTGTGGCAAACAGCCTGGAGGCGGTTGTGGGAGAAGCAGCTAAATAAGATGACAGTTGGCATCGTTGGCAGAGTGGTGTGGGTGTGTGGTAGGAAGGCAATGCGATAAGTAGAGAGGGACAGAGCTATTTACGTGGGGCCTTGAAGGTGAGAACAGAAAGCTGGAACTTGATGCAATAGAGAAGAGGGAGCTAATACAGGGATTCAAAGAGGTAGGTGCCATGGTCATCACATCAGTATATATACACACTCCACTGAGACAATCGCAATCACTCACACACACCTCCTACCTCGTACAAATATAAGACTACACACACGCACACACTGACTAACATGCAAACAAACACATGTATGTGTTCACTGCCATACACACACACGCATGCACATGCACATACACAGTGCACGCACTGCATTTGTCACCCAGGCTAACTTTTCCCAGGACTGATTTTGAAACCCGCTGAGCCTTCATATTATTCTCATCAATTCTGAAACTGACAACAACAACAAAAAAACCAACGCAAGGACTCATTTTGTATTATTGGAAGTGGGATAAAGTGCTGTCTCCAGGGGAGAGTGCACATTGCCATGACAACCTGTTCTAACCCATCACAGTGGGTATTCCCGGGACAGGAAGAGGACACCAGAGGTCGTGTAGCCGCAATGTTTGTGGCTGGTGTGATCCTCGCCACCCTGAAATGATCTGGCACCCAGCCCAGATTTGCAGAGTATTTCTCTGCTAAATCAGGTTTAGAGCCCAACAGTCCCTGCAGCGGGGCACAGCCAGGTCATATCAACGCCGTCCCTGTCCTATAGTATCCTGATGCCTTCAGATGATCTTCAGCCCTTCTCTTTAGCTGCTGCTGGATTCCAGTGGAAACACCACACATTCCCTCTCAACCCCTTCATTGTCAGTCTGGCTGTCATATCAGCAAACACTACCAAGTACTCTGACAGCTGTAGACACAAAATCCTCCAGCTGATCCAGAGCCACCAGATCCAAAGAGCTGGGATAAGCCCGGACTATTTCCCATTTGTCCAGTGATAGCAGGGACAGAGGAGAACGTTCTGCATGAAGAGAAAGAGAGGCTGCAGTGCAGGAGGGAGTGGGAGAGAGACATTCCATAAACATGCTCTGCATGTGAGAAGGTGAGGGGAAATGCCATGAGTGGAGAACGGACTTTCCCTTTCAATCCACTGATTACGCTTCAGCTGTAGCCTGCTCTGAGGGGCAGAACCGGTGCCCTAAAGACTCCTCCTGCCAGTGTGCATGTTGCTGCTGCTCCATATTCCCAGCAAGCTAGGAGTCAGCTCTGCCTGCTGGATCCAGACTCCTCACCCCCAGGGACTCCTCACCAGACCACTCTGGACTCTGCAATCATACTTGAAATGGGACTTGAGTCAGAGCTGCATCTTTAGCTATCTCTATTTTACTTGTAACAAATAACGATGAAACAAGTGGACAAAGAAAAGGGGTGTGCGTGAGTGTGTGTGTGTGTTAGGAGTGGAATAAGGGTTGAGGGAGAGAAGAAAAATCCCCACCTGCTCCCCACACCGCGCCCAACAAAGTTTCCTTTGTTGCTGATAACATTTTCTGTTAAGTTGTGGGTTTGATTGTGGCCTTGTACTTCATTTCCTCTTGTTTCTCCATGGTATGGAAAAGGGTCTGGCAAAAAGCAGGCTGGGTTCACCTTGGCCCTGCTACAGGGACTCCCTAGTTTAGGAACCCACACAAGAATGGAGGAGGAAGGTGAGGGGAGAAAACAGAAGGTTGCTGTGAAAAGTGAGGGGTGTACACTGCTTGGTCCCAATGAACTGCAAATACCTGGGAGGACAATGGGCTGCGGAAATGCAAGGGTGGTGACCGTTTCCATGCTGAACAGTGCATCACGGCTAACCGGGAAGGGCCCTACATACACTCCAGCTTGGGAACAGGCTTTTTTAACTGTGACCAGGTACGTCTGCAAAACTTGCTCTTCTTGGGCAGCTAGGAAGTGGCCTTCTTCATTGCTGCCAGGCACATCTGGGGAACACGGCCCTCCGGTGTAGCTAGAAAACAGGCTCTCTCAATGGAGGAGTGCATGTCTGGCTCTCAGCTTGGCACCGCCGTGCTAGTGTGCTCAGGAAAAGGCCTCATCTGGTGTACATCTGGGAACTGGCTTCTCCTCCACAGCTAGTCACAGCTAGGAGATGGGCTTCCCTTTGGAAATGGTGATAAACATGCCCCTCCTGTGCAGGCAAGCATGGTAGTGCAGATCAGTCAATTCCCCAGTGCATGTGGGTAGACTCTAACTGTGCTCCCCATCAGCAAGCAGGCGCACCCAGGAACACCCATTGCCTGTGGAGAACAGACGGCCTGGGCAATTTATTTTCTTCTGTTAAAGTCTGAGGGCGAGTGATATGGTTTTCTAAAATGGTTGAACTAAGGTTTCTTTGGCACAAGACAGAAGATTTTTAAAGGTATATTATATTTCTGGCTTGTTGTTACAGAAGACTAATAAAGAATGTATTTTCCTATGCACCACACTGTTTCAATTAGATCTCTAGCATCAACACTCCTGCCAGCCCCCATACAAGCAGACACTGCAGAGATACAACCAAAGAGAGAGCAACAGGCCATTGAGGTTACTTGTGCACAGACACACACCCACACAGCTGCAGGCACAGTGCCAGGACAGGGACAACAAGGATAAGATGTTGTGGCTATCAGCTCATTATCTAAAACCAGAAAGGGCCAAATTAAGCCCTTGTGTAATTCCACTGAAGTTCCACTGAAGCTGACGGAGTTGCAATAGGGTTGAATTTGGCACATTCAATAAAACATACAGTGACAAATAATAATCTGTGGGCTCCTAGAGCTTCACATGTGTCACTAAGATGAATGTGATTTTTACTTTGAAAGGAATGGAAATAGATCTCACATCCTCCTGCATGTCAGCTGCATAGATCTCTGCTACTTAAACAAAAGGAGATTCTTCATTAGCTGTTTGCTGTATGGGATCTAACACATGAAGGCTGCATCTAAACTATGAGCCTCTTCCGCAAGAGGAAATGCAAATGCAGCGGTCATTTGCATAGGTCGCGTGCTCATTTGCATTTCCTCCTTGGAAATTTCTTTTCTGTTGTGCAAGAGGTTTTTGCGCAAAAGGGTTTTTTTTTAGGAAGAACGGCTCTTGAGCAAAAGGAGCCGTCTACACAGCTGTTTTTTGCACAAAAACCTCTTGCACAAAAGGGATGTGAGGAGGAAATGCAAATGAGAGCGTGACCTATGCAAATGAGCGCTTCATTTGCATTTCCTCTTGCAGAGGAGACTCCACACACCCCCACATACCCACACTTCATTACAGGCCCTTGCAGTTCAAAGAGGCACATCAAGTGTCAGGAATGTCATGGAAATTCAAATCTCATTGCAAACATTAGGGTACCAAACTCATGGAAACCTATGGATTTCACAGTTGTCTTAACCACAGTCGCTGTGGGCATGCTGATTCTGGTGGTGAAAGTGGGAGATAGAACCAGAAGCTCCTGATCTGAAAGAACTGGTCAAAAGCAACCCTGCAGCCCCAAACACACAAACATTGGAGCTAAAGGAGAACCTCCAGCAGCATTTAACAAATCTGTGATACATCCCTTAACAATTCTGATTTCTTCCAATGCAGGGCAAGGGTACACTCGCCCTTTCCAGTTCATTACAATACCATTCTAGAACTGAGAAAATAATTCGCAGCCAATCATCTGAGGAATGTAGGCTTTTCTTTTAAAAAAAAGAAGTTTGCAACTTTCATTTCCCCCAAACTGACTATCCTTCAAAACTGCCAAATAATTTCTGTGGATAACTCTTGATCTGAATATTGCTCATGGGCAGCTCACTCTAAGTGTTCACCTTGTGAGTGGGGTTGATTAGTTCTGATCAGAAGTATAGCTCACAATCTGTTTCTATCCTTTGCTTACGGTGCATAATTCTAGTGTTTAGAACTGAGCATCTGGTGACCAACATCTGGGAAGAAAAGGTTACTCGCCTCGTGCCATAATTGGAGTTCTTCAAGATGTGTGTCCCTATGAAGGCTCCACTTCAGGTGTACTCACACCCCTTGTGCCTTTAATCAGAGATTTTTGGTAGTAGTACCTGTTTGCCAGCATATGAGTTCTATGCTTTCTAGTGCCCCACTCTGAGGCTATACAGGGCTGTGCAGGTGAACTGCCCTCAGTTCCTTCTCTACCACAAAATCTTGAGG